TGACCAAATTTTTTTTTAAAAACTTATACAGAATAATAATACAAAACTATATATTTAATATAGAATATATTGTATATATTAATATGGCTATTGTATTTTATAATAAATCTTTTAGTAATTAAACTTTAATTATCAAAATAAAATTTTTCTTAATGGGTCGAAACGTGTTACCCGCGTGTATACCCGTTAAGAACCCGTTATTAACGGGTTCTTAATGGATTACCCGATTATGACCTGATAAGTTATCGTGTTGATCCGAAACCCGTTATTTTCGTGTCGTGTCATCGTATCGTGTCAAAAACTGACAGATCTACATGAAATAGACCAGCTACATTGCATTCTTGTATCTGTACCACTTTCGAAGCATACGTTTATATGATAGGTCACACATCTAAGTGACTTGCAGTTCCTTACATGCGTTCCTTAGAAACATGTAGATTAATTAGATTATTATTGTGATTATATTATTAACTCTTATTATTTTGTCGAAGCTTAATTAGATTAAGAATGGTGGCATATTGGGAGATATCCTTGCCGGATCCTCTTTGTGAGGATCCCAGATATCCTTTAATCATGTTCGTTTATCGTATATCGTGCAATCAGTTTCGTCATGTACTGTTTGTATTCAATTTTGAATAATATATATAATTTAACATGATTTTCGACCACACAATGTACGATAAAATGACATGATTAAAGAATTTCTTGGATCTTCATAAATAGGATCCGGCGACGATCCTATCTTGTATCTTTGGTGTGGGTATGGTGGTCCAAGGGTTTTCGACTGTCCAGCATGCGCTGTGTAACGTGGTACCTGTTGGCCATGCTTTGTTCCTCATTGACCTTTGGCCTCTCTTTTCTATTTTAAGCTTCACATGCATGTGCCCTCCTATATATGTATTGCCGCACACTTCCAATTTTAGGCATGAGAAACTCCAGCTTATATTTTCAATATTGCACTACAATTCATTGATATTTAAATATTGGAGTTCTTATCCACAAATATTGGAATAGGATGAACTAATCAAATAAAAATTTTGATCTGGCTTTTTCATGTTGTGGACCATTTTAGATGGTACTTAGCATATACATATTTATCCCTATAATTTTTTATTTATTTGTTTACATTCGTTAGTTGAATCTAAAAACTTTAAGCGGCGGAATATTCTTTTTTTTTTGGAATGTTGTAAATTTTTTTCATTATATATATGAATTATATCCAAACTTATATTCTCTTTTTTTCCTTTTCTAGAAGAGGATGTCAATTTCTCCATCGAACTTATAAGGAACTATCAATTTCCCTATAAATTTTAATTTTAGCCAATTATCTCCATGAATTTTTATAATTGGTCAATTTCTCACTAAATTTTAATTTTAACCGATTACTTCCCTAAACTTTGATAATTGGCAAATTTTCCTTGAACTTTAATTTTATAATTGCAAAAAGATATGTGGACAACATATTTTTTTTTCTTACTTTTCTTCCGCTAGTACCTTTTTCTAGAATTGTATTAACTTACATGATGCAACATCATCTTCTATTCTCTATTGTTATATCTCTCTTTTAGCATGATGGATCTACTCTAATCAACCAAAAATCGACCATATTATAATGCAAATCGGTAGGACCTAATTAGAATGGGACACTAGTAAAAATGTGTTTCACTTTTAACTAATTAATCATCAACCAATGTAATGTGTAAAAGGCACTAAACGGAAAGCTTTGCAATATAGCATGATCCCCATGTAATTTCTATAAGGCATTAACATTAAACAGAAAACAATTAATTTCACTTGAGATAGATTAACATTTTTTTTATGTGGGATCCAAATGCACCTTAGCCATAAAATAAAAAGCACCTTTCCACAACATTTGATCCAATTGCCAATAAAAACATGCCAAATTTGAGCATGTACAAGTTGATTCTTACACTATCTAGTTGGGAATGATTACCACCAAGCTATTCTTATGATGAAATTTCTAAAGTGCAGAGTGGCCTTCCGGTGAATTGGATAATTAACATAAACAGATGCATAGTACGCACTATAGTACTAGTAAGTAACATTCAACATTCTTGTAAGTTCTATGAGCCTTCCCCGCCTATAGAAGAGTGGATTGCGGTGGCGAAACCATTAGTTAGTCTTCTGTTTAAAAAAGAAAAACATTCTTGTAAGTTGCAACTCATGAATCCTTAACCTATTCGAACTGATTAAGATATTTTAACTTATACGTTACGTCACCCTCTTTCACAACTTCGACTTTATAAATTTCATTATAAACAAGAATAGGCAGAAACCTAGATTCCGAACTCTAATTGAGAGAGCACCTAAAATTTATTACTCCAATAGTTTGCCTGATTAATTTATGTGGAATTGGAACTTTGTTTGCAACCTTCAGCCAGAAGGACTTTGGAAGAGACTCTAAGAAAAGATTTAGAGTACTTGGATCTAACGGAATATGTGACATAGAACCAAACGCAATGGCGTTCTAGGATTCCTATAGCCGATCCTACTTAATAGGAAAAGAAAAGACTTTGTTGTTGTTGTTTGGAACTTTGTCTGCAACGTTCAGCCAGAATTTCATGAACACAAGTGACTTGTACAGTGTAGTAACTATTGGACCCTTATGATGAGTTACTATATTTTATTTACTATATATAGTCATTAGCATATAGCAAAAATAATTATTGCCATTTCCCGACCCCGTTTCAGAAAATGTCACATTCAGCAGCCCCATCACCACGAGCTGTGAGACCATCCACGTTCCATCAAATGATTTAGTGCTGTGAAAACCATGTTGATTTTTGAATTGAATACATAATCTCCATTGCCAAGCCGGTCCCAAAAGCCAAAAGGATGTATATTTATATCTATGCTAATTATTCCCATAAAATGAAAAGGTCAATCACATTTTATTTTCCAAGGGTTGAAGTGATTTTCAAAATGAACTAGAAAGTTTCAGTCTTGGTAGTCGGGGTTCTACAAACCCATACTAGTAAAATTGTTCGCAACTACATTTCTTTTGCGACATATGTGAAAGGTTTGGAAAGTCATTTTCCGAATGCGATCCAAACAAATAGATCGTTGCATACACAGAGACCAAGAAAGATGAAAAGTAGTCGATTGAAGAGCGAAAGTAACACTAAATGAGTCACTTTTCAACATACAAGAGAGAGGAGTGGGAAAGATTGAAAGATGAAGATGGATAGCAATTAGTATAGTGGTTGACCAAAAAGCTTTCCTTTTGGACAACAATTATACCTTATGAATATTATGATGGCACCAACAAATGCAAACCAGCTCTCCTCTCCTCTAGGCTCTAGATATAACAATCAATTGGGATCGTATTCCGATTCAGAGATGCCATATTAACAAAGACCATGCTGAGTGGCACCAATGAGAATCCACCATTGCTATCTGAAAAGGAAATTGGTCTTTATCCTCTTCTCTAATTAGTCAAACGGCGCAGAAGAAACCTCACTCTCATGATGTTGCACCTACACTCGAGTTCTTGCCATAACTTTTCATTTTTCAATAATCTAATTAAGAGGGAAAAAACAAAAGAGATACGACTCTAAATATAAACAAATCAAATGTTGTCACGATCAATTTTGAATATAAAATTTCAAGATTTTTTTTGGTGTGTGTAGTATTACTCATAACATTTCCTTCTTTCTTCGGTTTTCAAGTTACACGCATCCTCAAATTCAACGAGCTCGCTGCGAAATCTTACCTTAGTACTTGGATAATTTAAGTAGCAAACCTAGCAATGATTTTGTTCTGTTTAAAGATCATGTTTTAAGTAGACCCTTTCTGTGAATGATTCAACATGGATAAGGAGAAACTATGTTAGTGATGGAAAAAGCGATTCGTACTGTTTGCCACTCTCTGCTGTACACACACACACACACACACACACACACACACACACACAATATCCTTTGTGGCTTATCCATCGTCTCTACCAACAAAAATATTTAGGAAGATGCCTACGTACTGCATTGTATGGGGATTGAATTTGAAGCAGTATTTAATGTATCCCAATTCGTGTAAGTAAGCTAGGTCAGCTGGCCACTACAGCGTGTCCAGCCTGTTAATCGAGCAGAACCCCAAGCAATTATTGATGGGATTGACCAGAAAATTAAAAAACAGATTATTGATGGGCTGGACCGAATGCTTGAATCCTTAATGGGCTATTTTAGAATTGACTGGGCTTCTACGTAATCAGCCCAGCTTACAATATCATGTGCATCTTCCAAAAGAAAAACCGAACTTACAAAAGAGTCTAGAAGAGACTAGAATCGTCGAGTTTTATAAACTTCTGTACCACACTACACTACTTTTACCCTTTACCATTTTTTTTTGTTTTTTTCGAAACAAGTTCACCAAATTTCTTTACACATTCTTTACGAAGCAATATTTCACTTTAAACTGCTAGCACAAGCAACAACAAAATTCGAATTCAGTTATATAAATAAGCACCTCCACTCTCGTTATTGAGAGATTTTTCCAAGCACCACATGTCGCTCTACTTATTTTATGACACATAGGTCTCATTTGATGAAGAATTGACGCGATAACTATTAACTGTAGTAAAGGAAGGTATTCTAAAAGAAAAAAACTAATGGCAAATTCCTTAGATTGTTCAAATTGAAGATAACTAATTACCCTTTTAATCCTATTTTGTAATTTGAGCAGCACTAAGAATTGTGTAAGAAATGCTATTTGTTCGTAATGTTAAAAAGATTAAATTTTTTAAATCAAATAATAAACTGAATAACAAATTACTAATAAAAACTAAATATATTAATTAATATTTAATAAATAATTCAATTATTTTCGATCACTTTGATTTGTAAATTTGATTTAAAATTTTTTTTGTAAATTTGATTTAAAAAATTTGATGTTGTATTAACTACTTATTAGAAGACCCTTCAATCTTGTTGAGAAAATCTCACTTCGTCATCAGATTAAACCAAAATTAATACGAAGAAGAGAAAGACGAAAAGGAAAACCTGGAATTTTCCCAAAACATTCCCATATATTCACATACAAAAACACAACTTCCTCCAACTTATTATTTCTTCCTACTTTTTATACATCTGTTTTTTTTTTCTTGACATATTTCAAGCAGCAGACTTCATAGATTTCTTAGCAGCAGAGCTCTTGATCGACTTGGGCTGCTTCGGCTTGGCTGCGGCCGACTTCTTGTTCTTCCTTCCCGGCTTCTTACCAGACGAGGTCGTTTTGGTCTTCTTCTCCGATTTTGGTTTCGCAACGGCGGCTGTTTTGGGTGCGGATTTCTCCTTCTGCCCCGCTTCCGAGAGCTTGTACGAGGCCCTGATCTTGATCAGCTTCCCTCTCGCCGCCGAGTTCTTCAGCTGCAGAGCCAGAGTCTTCCTGAAATTCGCCGGCAACACCGCCTTGTGCTTCTCCTCCATGTGCTTTGCTATGGCGTACGGACTCGCCCCGCTCTTCTCGTTCAGAGCCAAAAGTGCCTCTTTGATCATCTGCAAACAAAATTCGAAGCCAAAATTCAGAACCCAGAAGCAAAAGCTGGTGGAGAAAATAAAGAAACCATGATCTGAGATCACGAATCCAAGTACCTGAAAGTAGGGAGGATGAGCGGCGGTTTTGGTTTTGGGTTTGGGCTGTTGTGGCTTCCTCTCTTTCGGAGTCCTGGGTTTCGTCTGCCTAACCGGCTTTTCTTCCTTCTTGGGCTCCTCCGTCGCTGCAGCCTCCGTTGGCGGCGGGTCCATGACGGCAGGAACTTGAACTTCTTCGGTGGCTGACATCGCGAAAACAGAGTAAAGAAAACGCTAGAATTTTCGTTTCAGAACCGACTGACGCCATTAGAAACTGGACCTCTTGGAATTTATATGGGGGGAGCAGTCTGTGGCCGGGAAATCTGGGCTGTGATTGGTTGGTGTGAGGTGTTGGGGATTGCCAGGTGTGCAGAGGAGAGATTTGGAACGTACACGTGGATAGGGAGCGGAGTGCTGGATTTCCAGCGTGGCAATCCTGGTTTTGTCATCGAGTTTGATTGTGGTGGGAAGTGTGTTTGTCTGTGTTTTTCTAGTTAACTTCGTCGGGGATTTTCTGTCGGTTTAATTTGCATTTGGAGGTGGAGTTTCGGGGTGGTTGACGAGAGGAAGGTGCTTGTTTTGCAATGTGGGTTGGAGGAGGCTAAATGGTTGACATTTAAGGCTGAAATTGTGGCACAAAATAGTAACAGTTTCTTTAGAGGGGAAGAAAGAAAGAAAAACATTTCTTCCGTTGAATAATTGGGTTTAGAATTAGCGAAACAATTTCGGAAAATGAGAATCGAGGAACAAAAACAAAAAGAATCAATTTCTTTGTTCTGATTCTATTCATCTTCTCACCAACGTCCATTTGTTTCGCATGATTTACAGTTTGAAAATGCTCAAATTTCATGCATGAGTTGAATACACTCCCCCATAAACTTATATCGGAGTTGAAGCGTCAATGTTTAAATTTTATGGTCCATCAATTTGACCTCCTACTTGAGAAGTAAAATATCAATTGCGTGTAGCCCTATAATAAAAACAGACACGATTTTGATAAAATGACTAAAGTGAAACACGTGGCGCAATTAAAGGACTAGAATTTTGAAAATTAAACTCATGGAACAAAATGAAATACGGATATACGTTCAAAGACCACTACCCTAATCAACGTTTCACATACGTAATCGATCGAAAATTTTGTACAGCATCCATCATGCATTTAGTCGAGTGTAACATACAACGGAGTATTTGGTGAAATCATAACAAACAAGATATAAACTATCAACGTCTTTACAAATTGACCGTCCAATGCAAAGACTCGGCAAAATTGAAAGAACAAATGACATGACAGAGGAACTTCAGAATATTCTGATTTGGAGATCAACTTCTCTGTACGACACAATGTATTATTCGAGACTGCCAAACAGAAAAGTAGCACCATACAACAACAACAACAACAACAACAACAAAGCCTTTTCCCACTAAGTGGGGTCGGCTATATGAATCCTAGCACCATAATACATAAAATCAATCACACAGCATATGGTACCGAGACAAGCATCGATCCTGACTTTCTATACGTCCTCATTTGGTGTTCAAAATTGGACCTGATTGGATAACTCGCTAGATTCAGTGTATGTTTGAATGGATGCCAACTTCCAAATTCTGTCAAAGTTGAAGGTAAAAGATGGACTCGTAAGAAGAAAACTAATTCACAGAAAACTGGTAGGATCGGGAGGGTTAAGTTTCTTTCATGATTAATCCAGCATCTACCCTTTAACTACGAGAAAAAAACTGGAATTTTACATCCATTTCTTTCTTCAACATACACTGCATCTAGGGAGTTACCCAATCCAATCCGATCCTGGACACCAAAAAAGCCTATAGGGTTAGCAGTTATCCATGCTTCTGCATGCTCAATGTTTTCAACAGATATGGAACTTGTATACTGCTAGTAAGAAAATCCCAATGTTATGTGATATGCAACAAGAGGCACGGTTCATGACACCAATCAATGACAAGTCAGCATAATACCTAATCCGCTAATGAGAAGTGTTATGCATGTCAAAACCGATTACCGCCGAAGCTACTACCCATTTGACAAAACAAAGACTAACTACCTTCAATTAAGAACCCAAAAGTAATGCTGTTCAATCAGCAGAAACATCATAAACCACCAGCATTTGCCTAATCAATCACAATATTCATAAAATCTAAAGCCCTAACGGAAGGTAATCGGATAATCAGAACGAAATACAGCCTAAGCTACTACCCATTTGAAAATACAGATAACATACCTTTAACTTCAATTGAGAACCAAACACATTAAGTATCCCGCCCTCAATTTTCAGAAGGAATAAAAATCATAAAATGGTCAGCCTATGTCAAAACTAAAGAGAAAAAAGTCCAAATTTATTGACGACAACCACAAAAACTCGTTTATTGGAGCTTAAAAACTACTCGCCCAACAACTAGTTGTCACCTGAAAAGAAACGAATTCCTTATTCCACCTCAAGGGGATCTCCCACAAGATAAATTTTTTATGGAATTGAACATTTTTACCTCTGGCAGAACAGTTTCATAACAAAAGGCAAAAATGTTTGCGAGCCGCTATATCCATGCTAAATACAGAAAAAGAACCCCAAGCTACATTTCAGTATGGAGGAAAGAACCACGTAACATCATACACACCAGCATCAGAATGTCATATAGAAGCCTACCCTAATTTAGAAAAACCTCTGAGAATATAATCATACAAGTTTCTCATTTATTTCGAAGAGAACTCCATAATTCATGCGTATTGTCTCTCCATAAAAAACCGTCAGTTCATCTTCATCTGCATGTTTAATCTTAACCCTTGCATCTCCATGAAAAAGGAAAAACCCTAAACTGAAAACCTTTCATCTCTAAAACCACCAAACTTGATTTCTCTAAACCACAAAATTAGCTGCAATCAACAAATAATTGGCCTGGGTCGGTATTTATGAATAGGGATGAAACAAGTACCTTAACTTCAAAAGAACCACCACAACACAGTTCATCGAGTTGTCCATGCCTAATGGGTAAGTCTCTTTCGACCTCCACTATACACATAATTACTAGATTCTAAGTCAAGGCCCTTGGAGACTACCTAAACTACGAATAGAAAAGATTTGGAAATCCTACCAAAAATTAACTTAATGGGCAACTAACAAGTAAAGAAGACAGATAGAAAAGGACGAAAAGAAAGATGCAGATAGAGAAGAGAAAAAACTATGCAACTTCTAACAGCAAGCCGGTAGCCCGTCTTTGATAAAGTACACCTGATCACAATTAAATAAGAGCCATTAGGACATTAACATACAAAATTCACAATAACATATTAGAACTTAAAATCACAAAACACTCATACTACCAAAAAGTTCTTGAGTCTAACAGTAGCGGCCACCTCCATATGAGTAATTGCTCCCGTAATAAGATGAATATGGACCAGAATTATACTGCAAAACGAGATTTGATGCACCATAGTTATGTTAATGTAACATGTAAAGTCAGGATCAACTGATCAAGTGAACATCAATTGCTTACTTCGGGACCATAATAATCATGAGGGTAGGCACTGCTGCCAGCTCCATACGTATCTAAAAGAAAGTCACTTAAATGAGTAAACTGACATAAAAGTAGCTATACAGGAAAGACCGGGAGAAGAGAGGAAAATTAAAAGAAAACTGAGCATAAAATCTGTACCCCTATAATGGTTTCCTCGAAACGAAGCTGCTGGATCAGTGTAATCCAACCGTGGGCGACGACTACTAGGCTCCGAGTAGTCATGATCATAGTCCTAGAAGTAGCAGTTTCATATGATAAGGAGTACCATAAAAGGCTTAGAGAAAAACCAAAAATATAAAAAATAAATATCAAGGGAAGCTTACTCTCATATGAAATGGGCGTTTTATTCCATGTGTGTTATCATCATAAAAATAAGGATCATCAAAGTGAACCCCCATGAATGGTCCATCAAGGTGTCCTGGACCTAGAGAATATGGATGCATCCTAGGAGGAATATGCATACCATAGCCTCTATCAGGGGCATCATGCCAAGGTCGATTTGTGTAGGGTCTTGATGGTGGGGCAGCAACTGGAGCACCTCCATCAAATCCATAACGGCCACCCCTGAAAGAGCCCCTTCTTCCCCCTGATAAACATAACAAAATCAGTAAGATTTGTTTGGGAGAGAAACTACAAGACAAATGTAATCACAATAAATACCTCGTCCATGAAACTCGTATGGGTAATCGAAGTCATATTCATTCTGGAAACCCATCCTGCCAGTTTGACCACGTCCACCACGATAGAAATGTCTGTTGGGTTGGAAATTTGCACGGTTGAAATGATCTCCACCACGACCAAAACCCCGTCCTGTGAGCAATAAAGAGTCAGAACAAGAAACAATGTGCAAATCAAAATGAATTTTCAATAAAAAATCAAACACATCTCTTACCAGATCTTGGAAAGATACCACTACCACCACCACGACCAATTCGAAATCCACCGCACATTCCACCCTTCACAGCCTGAGTTTTAGGCAAAGGATTTGAAAGTCTTGCTTTCACTTTTACCTAGCGTTACACAAACCAACATGGGTAAGTAACAAATTAAAATAGGGATTGAGAGTACGTTACCTCAACTACTAATTCTGACTGAGGCAATCATATCTGAAGAAAATAATGGCCAACGAGAAATAGCAATAACAATTGTAAAGACATTTTATGCAAGCATGTAGGGTGGTGTCTATGTGTCTACTTGAGTGCACGGATAAATGAATCAGTTAAAGAACATCCCCATCCTTTGTTTGGAATGTATGCAAGCATGTAGGGTGGTGTCTATCTAGTCCAGCTTCAAAATCAATATTCATATTTTTCCAATGTGCCAGAGAACCTAATCATTTGTTTCTGTACAGAGAGCTATGAAGTGTGTGTGTGTGTGTGTGTGTGAGAGAGAGAGAGAGAGAGAGAGAGAGAGAACACAAACAAGAATACCTTTGAATTCCCATCCTCCAGTCCTATGTTATTTATACTATCAACAAAGGCCACAGCAGATTCATGGGTAGAGAAATCAACAAATCCAAAATCCCTCCGCTTGGCTGTAGACATATTCCGAGCCAGAACAACGCGTAAGATTTCTCCATAGCATTTAAATTGCTCTCTAACTTTGTCCTCATCCCAATGAGGTGGAAGCCCATCCACAAATACGGACTTCACTTGGGACATGATCTCTGGGTCAGGCTCACGTATAGGTTCAGCAAAAGCCACTTTGGCAGTTCTTTCAGTGTGGCCAAATATAGCATCGGGCTGCTGAAGCCTCTTGTATGCAAGCATAGCTTCACCATGACAAGAGAATTCAATAAATGCAAAACCACGGCTCAACCCATCACTTTGAACATCTGGGACAAGATTTATATTCTCAACACCTTCCACACCATAATCCTTCAGTTTCTGTTTAATCTGTCATCCCACATTATGATAATGGAAAATGTGAACGAGCTGGAGAAGCTTTATATACAAATACCTATACATGCATTCATTTTTGCTACTTATTTGCTTATCTACTAATGCATTCTAAGACTGATTGGCCACTTACAGCTTCCTTTGTCCAGGTATTGCATATATTACCCACAAACAACGTGTCATTGTCCTCACTAGGTGCTGTCCCACATCGCCTCCCCCGTATCTGCAAAATGGTGAATTAGCATGAAGTTTACAAAAATATGAAACAGGAAAGGCAGAAAGAAAGATCCGTACAACAGGGTTTTTCATTTCAGACAAAGCCCGCCTTGCATACTCCTTATTTTCAAACTCCACAAATGCATAACCCTTGTTCTTATTAGATGAAGGATTCTTGTGTAACCTAACTTCAACTATCCCTCCAATCCTGTCGAAGACCCTTCTCACATCTTCCTCCACAGCATCCCGATCAAGCCCACCAAGAAATATCTCACGTTCTTTCCTCATCTTGCGCTCATTTGCAATGGCTGTAAATTCCTTATGTTCATCAGCCAATCTCTCAGTTTCTTCTGCAGGATCCTCTGCATCATCCTCAGGAAGTTCCTCCTCTCCATGTTCTCCCAGATCCAATTTTTCACCATAATCTTCCATCTGCTCATCACCATTAAACACCTCTTTAGCACGCTCAATATCTTCTCCTTGTAACCCCTCTTTGGCATTTTCTACCTTGTTAGTAGCCTCAACACAGGTCTCGACTTCATCTCCATCATCCACTGACTCCTCCTGATCTCCTTTCACATCTACTCTATCCGACTTCTCCTTATGGTCTTCTTTCACTTCCACTCCCTCTTTTACATCACGAGCTGGTTCGTTCTCAGAATACTTTGAAACCTCCGCAACTAAAGATTTTTCTGCCTCAATGGGATCCTCTTCCTTGATAGGACCCTCTTCCTCAATCACTTCCACTCCCTCTTTTATATCACAAGCTATCTCAGAAGACTCTGAAATCTCCCCAGCTACTGATTCTACTGCCTCAACGGAATCCTCTTCCTCGATAGGATCCTCCTCCTCAACAGGATCCTCTTCCTCTTCGGGATCCTCTTCAACTTCATTTGGGTTTACTTTTACTTCAACGATTGTTTGTTTGATTGTTGCAGGCTCTCCAACATTCTCAACAGTGCTTACTTCAACTTCCACAACGCTTTCGCCCTTCTTTGCAGACTCCCCAACATTCTCAGCAACCGGTTTCTTCTCTGTGACTTCCACATCACTACCATCTGCCGCCTGCCCCTTGTTCACTGCATCTAGTTCCCCCTTCCCCGATCCCCCCAATTTCGGTGTCAGAGGTGAAACAGATTTAGCTGATGTCTTAAGTTTCACCGGCGACCTTTTCGCAGGTACTTTTCTCGCCACACCAACTTTCGCCGCCGGTGCCACCTTAGCAGTACCAGCTGATCCCTCAGTCCCCTCAGCTACTAATCCAACCAATAATTAAAATCAAAGAAAAAAATTTAAGTGAATAACTTACTTAATTAGTTCAATTGAGTAACAAATTTCAATTTTTAATTTTCTACATGCAGCAGCAACCAAAATTCCAGATGATAAAACCCTAATTGAATCAAACTAAATATATGAAGTTTGAAATTAAATACTAAATGTACTAACTGATAAACTAATTCAATAATTACCTGATGGTTTGGGGGACTTCGAATCAGCAGGCGGTGTCGTTTCGTTCTTCTTGGCCTGCTTCACCCGGCCGGCACAAGCGCGCTTTGTTTCGACGGTTTTCGGAGTGGCCACTTCTAAGTCCGGCGGGTAAGCCGCCGGCTGTGGCCTGGTGGCGGTTTTCCTCGCCGGCGGCGTTTTCTTAGCGGTCGGCGGTTTGGAGGCGTCTGCCTTGCGAGGTCTCATGCTTAGTATATGCAGCGGATAAAACCCCTAAGAAATTGAGAGAGAGGTGGTGTTAGGGGTTTAGTCGTCGGATGTTGTGAACTTGACTGTGAACGGCGGAGCACGGCGGAGTTTTCAGTTTCGATGCGAATAAGGTTTTGTCCAGAAGTTTGCTAAATAGAAAGCTACGCGCTAAATAGTTCGTTGGAAATTTTCCCCTATTAATTGCAGTTGAGTGATTCTCGCCTGATTCCATTAAGGATTTCGGGATCTTTAAATCATATTCGTTCATCGTTCATGTGATTAAAAGTTATTGTAAAATTTTTATTTAAAATTAAACGTAAATAGCATTTGATAAAAATTAACTGCATAACGTTTATGATTAGATGATTTCTAAAATCTTCGCAAAGGAAATCCTCTCTCATTGCAGTTGAGGGCAAGTTAGGGATTTGGATTGGATGCTTTTCTTGCTTTTTTTTGTGTGGGTTCGCGTGAGATGAGATTATTTCTCCAATAAACAATGTTGATGCCTTGCTGCGGTTTGGAGCCAATCTTGAAGGCGTTGTAATTGGTGTTCGCGATTGTGGACACATTTTCTTGTGAAGTTTTGTCCCACGTGATTTTCTTCGGGAAATTTTTTTACGGTCCCAGTTTTTCTGCTCTTTCAGTTATCATACATTTTTATTCTTTCTTATTTTATACGGTCACGGTTAAGCTATGTTAACATTTTATATTAATTTTTTATAAAAATAATAAGATAAAAAGTAATAGTGATATAAAATGTTGACGTAACTTAACTGTGACTGTACAAATAAGAGAGAATGAGAGTATATTAATTTTATTATTATTATTATTATTATTATTATGTTTATTATTATTATGTTTATTATTATTATTATTATTATTATTATTATTATTATGTTTGTAAAGTTTAGGCCGACTTCGCATGTAGAGTCTGTTAAGACCGTTTTGATTCCCACGAACCCGCCACTTCGACGCCGCGTTTCGATCGTAAGAAGCACCAGCACCACCGATGGGAGCCGCAGAATCCACACTCTCAAGCTCACAGGTAGTTCTCCGTCTTAATCACCTCCAATTTCAATTTATTTTTCTCATTTATCCAAAATTAATTCAAATTATCATTTTTAATTCTTCAATTATGCTTCAAGTGGCCGGCCGACGAAATCACCACCGTGTCGGAGCGACCAGAAACCGCCGATCCCGTCTTGGAAAAGCTCAAATCCCTTAAAATTGTGAGTTTTGCATTCTACTGTTCCAAAATTTTATCAATTTAAGAAAATGGAAAGAAAACAAGAACTAGGGTTTGAATTTTGAATTCAATTAATCGGTTACTGTTCTCAGAAAACGAGTTTTTGAGTTTGGGCGTTTGAAATGTTTGATTGCAGTCGACGCCCCTACTGAGTTCGCCCCCGGAAGAGGGCAGCTTGACCGACATTTTAGTTAGGAAGCCTTCGTCTTCTTCAGTGCCAAGTAAGCTGCTTCACTGAGTTATATTTTTCGGTTGCGAAAAAGATTGAAGAGAAAAGAACACCAAAAGATTGGACTGTTTGCTGAATTTGGAATTCTGCAGCGATTAGTATAACGGTTGGAGTTTTGTAGATGCAGTGTCTTTTTTCGTTGCGCGATTGTTGCTTGTATTTTGTTAGTTTTGATGTCGAAATTTTGCTACTCTGTTATGAATTGGCAATGTAGGTGTTGTGGATCCGAAAGTGCTATTGGAACTCTTCTCGATGTATCGTGAGTGGGAGGAGGATAATGTCCAGAAGATGAGCAAAAGACAGGTTTGTTTTCACAAGATTACTACTGTCCTTGTTGAATGATTTGAGTTTGTTTGAAGGAATAACTCAAGTTTTTTAGGGTTCACTCGTGCACTGGCTGTCCGTTTTTTATTGTCGGAGGGTTATTTCATATAAACTCGAAGTTCAGGACACAATTTTTCCTTTAAAATGTAAGGAGAAAATAGAACTTGAGTCTAAGGTTTAGGGTATCTTCTTCAGTGTCCTTACTCATCTTGGAGTGTGTCGTCGTCTACTTGGTTCTTCTGGTGCTCTGGTTGGTAAAACGCAACCGTTAATGGGTCATGGTTAAATCTGATCTCTGAACTGAGTTAAACAACTTCAAGGAGGTAAACCAGTTTAAGGATGTCTGGATGAAATTCAAATTATTTCTCTATAGTTTCTGACAGGGTACAAACTTTCCGTTTAGTGCGGTATAAACCAGTGTTAATAAATTCTGTTGGGAGTCTTACATACTCATACACTTCTGATGTGTTTGAAATGAAGTCTGTGGTTTGTTCTTACTTACGAGAAGCTTGCATTTCTTATGTCGAGATTTGTACAAGATTGGTAGTACATAAGCAAAATTGTTTTGCATCCCTTCTTCGCCACAGGAAATATTCAAACCTTGGTTTGGTGATAATTGTTGCAGGAAGAGATAGAAAATAAAATAGACGTTACGGATGCTTTGGCTGCTAAACTTCTTCAACGTTTTAATTATTCAGTTTCAGCAATGAAGACATCTTCACAACATTTATCGGAAGGTAAGTGATCACATTATACGTGTTAAGGGGAGAAAAACGTATGTTCCAAGGGTCTTTTTCCCTCGGTGGCTTCCGATGGACCTACTGTATGGTGAAATCGGTGGTATCTGTTGGACGTTGTCATGTCTTTCGGAGTTTGCCTATATTTCGTCATGATCTAATTTTACTTATTCTAACTTCGTATTGGAACACCCATGCAGTCCATTCGTTGCAGGTGGAGATTGGGGAGCTTAAAGGAAGGTTAACAGAGGTCATTAGTAACCGCGATGCACTGTGCCGGAGAATATGTGTTGAAGGACCAGAATCCCTCCGGTCATCCATCAAGCCGTTTGCTGTCTGCACCACCGGCCAAGAAATCCAATCTAGCTCAAGCTCTTCCGATCTGCAAAGAGATCCGGACCGAAGCCTACCCTCTGCCGAAGCCAGGTTAGACTGATTTTGCATTCTTTCGTTCGTTCTTGTACAAAATCTTTGTAGAGATTGTGGTTTATCGATATCATGAATGATATAACACATGTTTGATTCGTTTCTTTCGATATTCATTTTTGAATTAATTAACAATTATTTTCGAGAGCTAATTACATTTCTCTAAAAATACAAAAAAATGAAAAGGACAGGGTAGGGAACATGACAAGTAAGCTAGTAAAGAAACATCCTTTGTCAGATCCACGTGGGCAATTGCCATCACCGACAAAAACTTTTGCAAAAAAATGATCTTATTTTACTGGGAACCAGATACACCAAAATTGAGCCACCTAATCAATGAATTTGGACCGTTGAATTTTGATCCAACGGCTACAAACGAGAGGATCGGATTCCATTTTACTGAATCCAATTATTGTACAGTGAAAGGTATCATCAGATCCAGATACCCCGGATTCACAGATTTCTGTGGATGAAGACTAAAAACTAAAAACGAAGTGATTATCAAACGGATGTTAATTTACAAAACTCGTGAATCCGAGACCGGAAACAGACCACAAAAATGAACAACCCAGTGCAAGAACAATTAAAAACAAAAACAAAAACAACCCACGAAGCGAAAGATTCAAAGAAGTAAGCCACAGTATAACTTAAAACAGTCTTTTTGGCACCTATGTATCCAGCATGAGAGAAATCAAGGCTGTTGCTGAGAATCCATGTACCCAGCATCCACAAGCACCTTCTCCCTCTTGGCCAATTCAACGTCTTCATCCACCATCATCTTCACCAGCTGCTGAAACCCAACTTTCGGCTTCCAACCCAGCACCTTCTTCGCCTTGCTCGCATCCCCTTTCAGATTATCCACCTCCGACGGCCGCAGGTACCTCTTATCGATCACCACGTGGTCTCTCCAGTTCAATCCGACGTACCCAAACGATACCTCCAGGAACTCCTCCACCGTGTGCGACTCCTCCGTCGCCACCACGTAGTCGTCCGGCTTCTCCTGCTGCAGCATCATCCACATCGCCTCCACGTAGTCCCCGGCGAAACCCCAGTCCCTCGACGCCTGCAGATTTCCCAAGAACAGCTTGCTCTGCAATCCCTCTTTGATCCGACCCACGGCCCGGGTGATCTTCCGGGTCACAAAACTCTCCCCCCGCCGCGGCGACTCGTGGTTGAACAGAATGCCGTTGCACGCGAACAGTCCGTAGGCCTCACGGTAGTTCACGGTGTACCAATGCGCCGCACATTTCGAGACGGCGTAAGGGGATCGGGGGTGGAACGGCGTCGTTTCGGACTGGGGAGGCGGGGTGGCCCCGAACATCTCGGACGACCCAGCCTGGTAGTACTTAATGTCGGTGCGCCCGGTGGCGGCGATGTGGGAGCGGACGGCCTCGAGGAGGCGGAGGGAGCCAGTGGCGACGACGTCGGCGGTGTAATCGGGGATCTCAAACGAGACGGCGACGTGGGATTGGGCGGCGAGGTTGTAGACCTCATTGGGGGCGATGGTGTCGAGCCAGCGGCGGAGGGAGGAGGCGTCGCTGAGGTCGGCGTAGTGGAGCTTCATGCGGGCCTTGTGGGCGTTGTGGGGGTCGATGTAGATGTGGTTGATGCGCTGGGTGTTGAAGTTGGAGGAGCGTCGGATCAGGCCGTAGACGTCGTAGCCTTTTTCGATGAGGAATTCGGTGAGGTAGGAGCCGTCTTGGCCGGTGATGCCGGTGATGAGTGCGACCTTGCGGTGCTCCGGCGGATCAGGGGCGGAGCCGTTGGAGGTTAAGGATCCGGATCTGGCGGTGTCGATTTCGGATGCCATTGGGGGTGTGGTGGAGTCGTGGGGGTGTGAGGAGAACTGAGGAGGGAGGGAGTGAGGAAGTGAGATTGTGACGAGACGGTAGGATTTTCGGAGGAATTTTAAGGGGGTGAAGGAGGGACAGATCAGCTCTGGTGGCGCTGTCGGACATGGACGCGCTTTTGGCGCTTACTCTGGTCACGAATTAGAGGGCGCCAGCTCGGTTGATGGGTCGGTCCCGCAGAACTGAGGTGGGAACTAAGATCTGACAAATTTCCAAGAAATCCATTATTTTTCATTTACGAATTGAATTATATTAATGGTGCGTTTACTAATGCGTAATCAAAATAAGTCTGAAATCGAGTATGAATGATGTTGAGTTCATATAAGTTGTTTACTAATTCACTTCAATCGGAATGAAAATTAAATTGATTACTATATTGCCCTTACATAAATAAATTATTTTCATACTAATTAATTAAATTTATATAATGAAATTCATCTATATAAAAATATGTAAATAGATTTTATTTATTTATTAAAAGTTGGCATAATGAGTGTCAAATGAGGGACAATGTTGGGATAATAAAAAAACAAGTGAGGGCATAATTGGTAGAAGAAATCCATTCTGGATTCCTCAGGTATCAGGGAATTGAAATACCTTTCTCATGTAAGGAGTCCAATTTCTCCAAAATTAGGAGTTGGATTCCTTAATGCGTGTGGACCCCACATGTAATTTGATTTCCCAAGATTACGTAAACAAAGGTGTATCCCGTAATCGGAATCCAATTCCGTAAATTGATTCCAATTATGAGTACGTAGACGTGTCATAAAGTTTCTAGAGATGATTCAAAATTAGCTTCATTTAGGATTGTTTCGGTAAGAAGCACTTACATCTACTGGTAAGTGCTTCTACTTGTAAGTGTTTAAGTAGCAGATTTTTTATTTGAAAAAGTATATAGCATTTTAATGATTCATGATCATTTTAAAAATGTATTTTTGAAATGATTTGTGCATAATTATTTCATTTTTTGCACGTAAGAATAACTTGCATGACATAAGTAAAGTTATTATGATGTTTCGTGTCAATAATTAAAAGTATGTGTAAATTTTTATTTACTTTATTGTATTATTGACATGGTATGACAAAGTAACCATGTAGTGTGGAAAAAAAAGGGTGTTGAAATAACTCATATATGCCTTTATTTTCGATAAATAAAAATTTGTCGTGTCGTGATTTTGTCTTATACTTTCTTTGAAAAAAGCTAAACCGAGACATGGTTCCCATGAAAGAAAATGACTTGGACGGTGGACCACTATGGTGGTGTCATATATAGATGAAACATGTCAAAGTTTTTTGTCCATAAATCCTAGTTTTATGATTCTTAATCATTTTTAAAATGTATTTTGAAATGATTTGTGTTGTAGAACAGTGGATGTCCACTCAAAGAATGAAATAATGGGCAAGTTGCCCTTTCCAATGTCTACTGAAGCTTGTTGCACACCACTCCTATTTTCTATATAAATACAAACCCCACAAAAGATCAAAGAGATAAGTTCACGGAGAAGATTGTGAAGGAAAGAGAGAGGAAGGAAGATGAAAGATAGAGAGACAAAAGAGCTGTTGATCCAAAAGGTCGTTGGGGCTTGATCTTGGGATGAACGAGGATGAACGAATCTTCAAAGGCCTTCGGGGCTTGATCTTGATGAACAATTGTGTGGATTTCTTCAAGAGTCATTGGGCTTGATCTTGATGAACGAGGATGAATGGATCTGCAAGGACCTTAAGGGCTTGATCTTGATGAACGATGTGTGAATTTCTTCAAAGGCCGTTGGGCTTAATCTTGATGAACGAGGATGAACGGATCTTTAAGGGTCTTTGGGCTTGATCTTGATGAACGAGAGTGAACGGATCCTTAAGGGCTTTCGGGCCTTGATCTTGATGAATAGTTGTGTGGATTTCTTCAAGGATTTGATGAAGAACAATGAAAGCTTTCTTGATCCTTCGGGATTCTTGGGAATTTAGGAGGTTGGATGCTTGAAAGTTTTAGAGTTTCATAGCTTCAAGGGTTTGGGGAATTCTCTTCCAACTTGGGAGTAGAGAAATGTATATATGAATAGGTCCCCTAAAATGGATGAAATGGCCTTGTTATTATATAATTTTTAAAGGCCTAATTTTGAATAATTCAGATGAAATAAATCATTTTTGTCAGGTGTTGATACGTGTCATATTTGTAAAAATATATGAACACATATGCAATATATATAACTGAAATGAAAATATAAATATAGGGGGTTCATGCATCATGGGGAATGTTTTCATGTTTCAAAGTCGTTTCAAATATCTTAATTTATTTTAAAGGAACCTAATTGGTAGAAAACGATTAAGCCTTTCATTGTGTAGAATAGAGCTTCCTCATACGATCCTTAAGTTTATTAGCTTATGGCAAGAGCGTGCTGATAATGTGTTGTAGACCTAATTTACTGAACTGTGTTTAGGACAATAGAGGGAGAGGGTCGGCGGCAAGAGAGAGAAGAGAGGGATTTAATTATGAGGTGTATGTTGTATCACCCCCATTATGCATTTATTTATAGTAGTATAATATGTTAAATCCTTACCCTAATAGGATTACAACTCTAATAGGATAATATCTACTAAAGGGAATATTCCAAGATATCCCTAGATACAACAAGATTTACATAATCACATTCTTAATTTAATATGATTGCAACATTATTATTATTATAGTCAACCTTTGACTCTCTCTCCCTTAACCATTGTTTGGAATTTCTTCAACGATTGATATTTTTGTGGAAATATAAAAAATACAGAAAAATATATGAAAATTGAGGTTAATTTCTAAAAACTTCCCCTATATAAGATAATCTCTTAAATTTCAGCTAAAATCGACAAATTTAGACGATATTTTCTACATATCGGTTAAATATTGGAGAAACTCATATATTTTGTCTAAACTATTGTTTGACATTTTCAAAAATTTCATTTTCTATCATTCCATCCAAAGAAATCGATGTTGATATTGATATAGATATATTTATTGATATTTCCACAAATTTGCAAATCGAAATTTCTACTAATATTGATTTTTTTAAACACTGCCCTCAATCATATATCCCAGAGTCCTAGACTCTGAAATTTCCAAAGTCTGAGTTTCTACATATGCATTATAGAGTTTGAAATTTCACTTTTGCTAAACTAATTAATAGAAATCTCCAGGAGTGTGATGCGTTCTTTATTTGCTAACGATGATTCAAATGGGATTATACGAGGTTCAACTCCATAACTTCCACCTTCATTGTACACAACATATAATGTTAGCTTTCTTCTACATCGATCTTCTCTTCCCCTCTCATATTAGAATGTGGTCTAATAATCGAAGCCGTCTATCTTTTAAGTTACCTTCTTGAAAGAAATACATTTTCGCAACATCGTTTAGACATATAACTGTCATCATAAAAATAGACGAATATATTCTCTTGATTGCACATCGAATAGTCATGATGCCAATCAAATCACCTAACTTAATCGACTTTTTACAGAATGATGATTGGAAAATGACCGTTTGATCATTGTATAGTACACTACGTAATACAATCCGGAATTCACTAGTCAACTAGAAACCCCTTCGGTTCGTGGTTTCATGGTCTTAGCTAATATTGGGCCATATTGTTAGTACTATAAAGATGGGCTTTGGCCCTATAAGCAAAGTCCACGTGATAAAATAATTTTTACACTCTCATTTTGATTTTCACGCACTTTTATCGTGCATGGGAAGGAAGAGGGAAGTGCAAAAATCTCTTCCCTACCGTTCATAACCCAAACCCATTTTTCCTAACAACAAATAAAAAGCAACCGATGACGCTAAATTTTAACGGTGGAAAACAATTATACTTATACATTCTGGTGCGAGTTTGTTTCCACTAATCATTCTTTCCTTAACAACTAATAATTTAATTCACTAAAATTAATTTTTGTAAAAAAAAAATCAACGAATAAATTATCTAATGAGTTACTTCGTTACTTTCTCTTTACTTTAAAAAACTACAACATGCTTTAACTCGCGATGGAGACATGAAACCTCGATTTTTCCCTTAGTTTGTTTTATGGCAAAATATTATTGTCTACGTGTATCTTTGACGATCAATTTTAAGGAAAATAACTACATAAGTTAATTGAGGTATTTTCCTTAAAAAGTAAAGGATAGTACAATGTATTTAATCTCGTCAATAATTATGGAACTGTAATGTGTTTTACCATATTAGGTTAACCAAAATACCTTAACGTACTTGCAAAAAACTTATACCTCAAGCGATTAAAACCGTATTCATGCACTAAAAATTCTGCATTTGAACTTGACATCCTCTAACATTGCTAGCATAAAAAATAAGATCACACCATCTAATTCTAAGAAAAGAATCATAATTAATTTTAGCCCATTGTGATATTAAACCCACCCCTCACCTTAGTGCGGATAATATCGTTAGTTTTTAAAAAAATTATAAGAAAAGAATCATAATAATTAGGGTAAATTATATAATTTTGCCTCAACTATGAGCGAAACCACATTCTCATACCTAATGTTTTTAACAGTGTTCTAAAAAACGGCCTAGGCGGCGCCTAGGCACTGGGCGGGCACCAACCGAGGTGATTTTGGGCAAATCGGGAGGAAAAATCGGGTTGGGCCTAGGCGGCCGCCTAGGCGGGCTAGGCGGCGCCTAGGCGGTCTAGGCGGGCTAGGCGGTCCTAGGCGGCCCTAGGCGGTCCTAGGCGGCCCTAGGCGGTCCTAGGCGGTCCTAGGAGGTTTTTTTATTTTTTATTTTTTATTAATTGCGTGCTTTTTTCTTTTTTGGTTTCATGGTGGTATACTTATGGAAATGGTGTATCTAATTTGCAAATGATGAATTTACTACAAGTTCATCCAATACTTATGGAAATAGTGTATCTAATTTGCATTTTATCATTATTTTATTATCCATACAAGTATAGTTTTTTTTTAGGTGTCAATATGCACTTATTTACAAGATATACAAAAAATTTACCTAAATCCGCCTAGGCGCCCGCCTAGGCACCGCCTAGCCGCCTAGGCGCTAGGCGCTAGCCCGCCGCCCGACTAGCGCCTAGCGTTTTTTAGAACCTTGGTTTTTAACATTGCAATTTTCTGTCAATTTGAGTGTTAAATAATGACGTGGCAGGAGCATTTTAGCCTATTGTGAGATTAAACCCACCCCTCGCCTTAGTGCAAATAATATCGTTAGTTTTAAAAAAAAATTATAAGAAAAGAATCATAATAATTAGGGTAAATTATATAATTTTACCTCAACTATGAGCGAAACCACAATCTCATACCTAATGTTTTTAACATTGCAATTTTCTGTCAATTTGATTGTTAAATAATGACGTGGCAGGAGCATTTTAGCCTATTGTGAGATTAAACCCACCCCTCGCCTTAGTGCAAATAATATCGTTAGTTTTAAAAAAAAATTATAAGAAAAGAATCATAATAATTAGGGTAAATTATATAATTTTGCCTCAACTATGAGCGAAATCACAATCTCATACCTAATGTTTTTAACATTGCAATTTTCTGTCAATTTGATTGTTAAATAATGACGTGGCAGGAGCATGCCCCACTCATTATCCAACTAAATTTAAAAATTAATTAAATACTAATAAGTGAAGATTTTTTTTAACAGAAATCTGACATTACAACGAATTCATAACTCGAGGTATGCCATTGCAATGTTAAAAATATGAGGTATGAGATTGTGGTTCGACCTATAGTTGAGGTAATTAAGGAGACTCTCAAATTACGACTCTCCATAGACTTTTTTTCACCTCATGTTTTTTATACAATATTTTATAATATCGACATCGAAATTTGCTAAAAACATAACAAAAAGTCTACGAAAAATCCACTTTTAAGAGAACCTCCCTAACGTTTCTCTAATTTTTAATCTCTCTCCCTTTGAGGAGTCCTTAACCCTCAAGGAAAAATAAAAGAATCCTTAACCTAGTCGCTCAAGCATCCTCCTAATTCACATTCCTACTCCTCCCAAATATAAAAATCCAAAAAAAAGGTAAATAAAGTGGCCAAAGGGCCATGTCAAAGGGCAGATAAGAAGGGAGCGCATTCTCGCGGGTCTTACCAAATAGGCCGTCATAATTGAAACCTGCAAAATCAGGATAGCCACAAAACAAACAATTAGCTGTCTCTCACCATTCCCGACGCCTCCCGAGATCCCCCAATTCAACATCCTTTATATAACACCACCACCAACACATACACACCCCCGCACTCGTTAAGCGACGCCGCGTCGCCTCTCTTCCTCCCGGCTTCAGAAATTAGGGTTTCAAAATCCCAAATCTGTGTAAATCGGACCGGTAAATTTACGAATTTGTACGAAGGATTTTGTGTAAATTTGAAGCGTTTTTTGAGATTTGAGACTACGAGAATGAATTTGAAGCGGTCGAGGAAATCGAGCTCCGTATCTTGGGCTTCTGGAGCCGATCTTCGTCAGGTATAATCGCCGATTCTTTTGAAACCTTTGTTCTTTCTTTCGATTCGATTTTTTTTTTTTCTGTTTGGCGACTGAGAAAATACGCCATCGATCAGTTTTCTTTCCCTTTGATTATTTCCCCAGATTTAATTAATATAAACTATGACTCTTAAATATGATTGATTGAAGCTTGCTTCTCGTTGTTAATTATCGTATTACTTGTTTGGATTAATTTCTAATTGGATTAAGATTTGGGTACCAATTTAAAACCATCATCAGAAACTCATTGGACCATAAAAAAAAAGAAATTTATTATTGGATAAAAGCTTGGATTAATGAAAATATAAAGGCCAAATATCCAGATCTTGGAAAAATTTTAAAACAAGATGTTAAAAATCAACAGAGTTATACCGTTAATCAAGGGATTTAGAAGAAGATTCAACATAATTATAACATGAATCACAGAGTTATACCGTTAATCAACGAATTAAGTTGAATTCGTCGCTACGAAATCTATCTCGCTGAAGTTGTTTAAATAGGTCGAATGATCGTAGTGTAATTGTACTGCTGTTTGGTATGTTTAAGATCAACATAAATTCTAAGTAGGATCATCATAGTTATTACAAGAATCAACAGGATTAAATCCAATTTGATTGCTATGATGTCTATAATTTATGAAGTCACATGGTCTTA